GTGCCTCTCGCGAAAGAAAAACCATGCCTTTCACGGAAGTAAGAAAAGAAACACGTTTTTCGCAAAAAATAATTTTCATTTTTTTGTCCAAAAGCTAAGGAAGACCGGTGAATAAAAAACCACTTTAAAAGCCAAAAACGCATGCAGCAAAATAAAAAAAGAATCAGAGGAAGCGCCCAGGACACGACACGTGCTGGCGGCTGAGAGCGCGTCACAGCGCGCCAAGTGACGCGCTCTCAGCCCACGAGCAAGTGATTGTTGTGTGGCTCCCAAAGGAGCGCTCGTCAACTAGTTGCTTCCGCCAAAGGCCAGGACCCAAGAATAAGTTTAATGGGCTTCTGCAGACCCATTAACACATATGCTTTTTTAATGCTTTTTTATTTTATGTTTACAGATTTTAAACTGCCATCATAAATAATTTGATATAAAAGGTATGTGTATTGTGAAAAGAATGTTTTCATGTATTTCAAGTTTTTAACATAGATGTTCACAGCTCCAATAGCAAATATCTACGCACTTTTAAAACATTCACATATCTCAAAAGAGATGTTTATAAATGCCCATGTACCTGCCCATAGCAAGATCACATTTCACACCTATCCTACGCTAAAGGCAAAGAATAGTATTCACAATCACTCGAAGCAGACACATGTGTCCAATGGACCCAAACTATGGCGCATTTGGGTGCGTCTTTAACAGGAGACCCATGCGATAAACAATGAGGACAAAGTAGTTTGTAAAACATGCGAAAATCATTTCCATTTTGTAGGACAGAATCCTAAGGAGGCACTTGTACAAAAACATTATTTGAAATATACCGGACTATCTATGATAAATGTTTGTGTGAGTCAAACGAAAGCCCCTTTGTATCGAACAAAGTGTTCAATAAAATTGTTCAACATGTAAAAAAACTTTGTGGTAAATTACTTCTAAAATTATGTTCCTTCCTTATATGAAAATAACATTTTGTTAAATAAAATGTTGAAATAAAAAGTAATAGAATCTGCAGCAAAATCAACAAATAAAAAGTACTCAATGCAAATTAAACCCTTCTAAACATGTTCCTCACTCTTAGAAATAAAATGTTCACGTGTGTCAAATAAAATGTTCACACAACTTAAAAAATCCATGAATAATATGATTAACTGGAAAAACAATCTGTGAAATATCTTTCACATTCCAAAAAAAAACCCATCATATAACTTGAATGTGCCAACAGATAATTTTCCTTGCACTAAACTTCTTCTTCCCCCTCTTCTCTCAACATGCTAGTATGCCACCTCAGCATGCAACATGCACGGGAAAAGATTCGCCACAACATGCATGGGAATTTCCATTTTATTATGCTATTTATATTTAATAAACAACTTAGAACTATACAATAGTCAAACACAATAAATCATATATATTCACACTTGTATCTTTTCATATTATTACTTCAAGTAATCAAAGTGAAATATATTGCAAAACGTTCATGCAACAACATGCGATATATCATCTACTACTATAAATATGAAAATATATACCATGAAATTATGCCAACTCATCATGTTAGCCAACATGCAATTATGTCAACTCATCATGCTAGCCACCATGCCAATGCCACCTCATTACCACCATGGAAATATATACCATGCATGTTACCCATATTCGATAAATATTCTACAACTATAAATTAATCAAACAAAAACTTATATGTCTTTTATTTTTGTTCTCATATTATTAGTTTGTTTTATTCTCATATTTATAATCTATTTTTATTCACATATTGCTAATCTATTCTTTATTTTATTCTCATGCATGCAAATCCCACTGAAATAATTAAAAATAATACTGCATCAACATGTGGGGTAAAAATCTCTAGCAATGAGATTTGATTATATGGAACATGGATATTTGAAACAATAATACAACAATTGAAAAAATATATGATTTATTGTGTTTGATTATTCTATGTTTGTGAAATAATTGTTAAAATTATTAGCATAATATAATGAAAATACTCATGCATGTTTGCATGAATTTTTCTATGCATTATTGCATGTTGAGGTGGACCTTTCCTTTGCATGCTAATACTAGATCATCGAAGCGCGCGTTGCCGCACCCGCCTATCTTGATGACATCTAATGTAGGAAAGAGAAATATGTCAAAAGATTTGTGTAGTTAGACATGTCTGAGAAATTTGTACCATTTACTTTCTTGTGGAGCACGCAAATTATAGACTGAGAGGTGCATCTGAAAACTGGATTTCAGGAGCCCACAACAGCAAGAATTCAAGATACAAAAAGTAAAAAATAGATCAATACCTAGTGCCATTTACTTATTATACACCTGGCACAAATTCTGGAAGAGCATCCTGCATACAGTACCTAGTGAGACCCCCTTGTAGTTGTAGGTGCTTCCATGTGCTATTTAATATCTTATTTCACTCCAACTCTTTTTCCAAATAGTAGCAATCAACCTTGAAAACATCAGTAGCTTGAAACGCCCTGCTCTGAACCAATTGAGCTATCATATGTTATCTGTAATAACAACTATATGTACCTTCTCTTTCCTGAAAGCGACAGTGGCTTAAAACGATCTGCTCTGAACAAAATCTCTCCAGCGTCATTCCTGTTAATTTTCTTAATCAATTGTGTCCATATATTACTCTTGTTTTGGAAGCTAAATGCTTTCTACCAGAAGTTCCTTGCAACCTAAAGACATTGTGCAGAACCAAAATTTTGATTAATTTTGTAATTATAAGACTGTAAAGTGGCAAAATAGAGCAAATAATTTAAGAAAAAGGGCAACCAGACTGCTGATGGATTCATAGGTACCATGAAGCCTGATACACACAAAAGGTGGAATTTAGGTTGAGACTAACAAAGGCGTAGTGTTCAGGGTAAGAGAGGAGAGCTAGGGAGGCGTTGAGCTCATCAGCAGCAGATCTCGAGCACGAGCACGGAGGAGAAGAGGACCTCGAGGTTACTTAGCGCGGCGAGGCGAAGGACAGGCAGCCGGTAGCAGCACCGAGGGTGATCCATCATTTAGCACAAGCTATTTCCTTTACTTACCCTATAATTGCACTTCATGGCATCATCTTAAATTCACGATAATAGCAATTTTTCTGTGGGCTAGAGATTTGAAATTCGTAGTTAGCCATGCCTGGTGGAGCAATTTTGTAGCATGAATTATCAAGTCAATTGGTGTTTGCAAGTTTACGAATTAACTGTAATTTAGTTTTTTTTGCGGGGAATTTAGTTACCACATGCTATGGGCAACGCCGGTTAGTAAATAATTGATTTGGTTTTCAAAAGAAAACGACATGGTTCAGAATTGAAATGGTTTTCAAAATAACTGAGTAATGACTAATGCATGCTTTGAGTATCAAATCCCACTATCTCAATGCTTATGAGTATCTCAAAAATGAATAGCTAAGAATCCATCTGTTGAAACTGTCATTCTTGAGATAAAAAACATAAATAGCTTCAGATCAAATAAAAAAACGTACCAAAATTGCTCCCTATCGCCGTTGTCTTGATCTGGTTGTCAAAAAAATGCAGCCACCTACTGTTGCATCGTGAATGGAGAATAGTGGGAAGGGGAGTTTGTAGCCACACACCTTGACTGTCACCCGTCCATTCTCCGTTCTCAATCCATCCGCCGCTGCTGCTAGTAGCCTGCCGATTGATGTGACTACCACCGATAGACGGGAAAGATTGTGCTCTGGTTGCAGGGAAAGGAGGGGATCTGGTAGCTGTTGGGAGGAACTGTGAGGTTCATGAGGAGAGTGTCCAACACGCGGTACAGCTGCAAGGCATGGATGCGGATGCAGGAGAAAGACATCCGGCGATGGGTGCCTACGGTGCGGATGGCCGCCGCAGATGCGATCGAAGAACGCTGCACTAGTAGGAAATTAGAAAAGCAATAAAGGGCGGCGGATGCGCGGCAGAAACTCGCCCCCGGTGACGGTGCATCTCGGAGAAAGGAGGAGAGGAGGTTTTTTTTTCAGGGGTAGGAGGAGAGGAGGCGAGGGGGCTTGCATTGGAACTGAACGACCGGGCCTATTAGTGAATCAGAAGACCTGGGCCTTCGATGGCCCGCTAACGGAGGTAAACAGGAGGTCGTTCTCCGGAGCAGCGGCCCGCAACACGGTGTCGCAAGCGTGCGTAACGACTTGGGACAGCCGAGTTGATCTGAATCCTACGTTCGAGCGATCCGACGGCTAAGAGTGTCAAATCACTGTGGAGGCTTGTAGGTAGCTGTGTTATACTGTTTAGTAATACCTGTTGTGCATGTTGTGCATGTTGAGAAATATGTTAGTGTGGGCTAGTTATTTAAATGTAGATAGTATAGACATCCGAACAGAATAATAAAAATGTCACATGCACAGATTTTGGAAAACAGAATCATCTATTTAACTTTAAATAAAGAAGAGTTACAGCCAGTATAGATACAATAATGGTACGAGCTACAAAAAACAGTCCTTTATTCCATTTCAGTTCTTAGAACTAGTAGATATAATCCATTCTAAAAAACAAGAGTAGCTACTATATTTTTTGCATAATTCAAACAAGAACTTAGCCTTTATCAACTCCATCATGGTACCGCTCGCAAAAAAGGAAAAACTCCATCATGGTTCGCTCGCTGGGGGTCCAAGTCCAACCCCTGACCCTTTAGTTCAGCCAAATGAACTAAATTTCAAAAAGTCACGGGCACCCCAGAACGTTACAAATTTGCATCCCTATGCGCGCACACGGCCAGAGCCTCAATCGGTTCTCAAAGTTTGATCGAGGATGGCAAGAACAACTCCTAACAATCGACAAAACTTGGCGATGACTGAAAACGAGAAGGGCAAAAAACATCCGGATTTTCCCCCCATGTCTAGCTAGGTTCTGGTTCCTTTTTTTCGATAAGGTGTTTGGCAGGGGGCTGGAGGGTGAACCCTTGTTGAGTGGCTTACCGTTTTCATGGGAAAGAAAAGAGAATGGGCTTCTTTTATATCGAAGAAAAATAAACTAGGTTCTGAAGAGCTCCAGGCAGTGCTCCTGGTCCAAGTTCCTGCTCCAGAACTTCTTGTAGTACTCGTCGTAGGTGTAGTTTCTGTAGACCGCCGGCGATTTCTCACCGATGAGCTTCTCGGCGGGGCCGAGCTTGACACTGTTGCAGGGGCAGAGGAAGGAGGCGATGGACATCCTCGGCCTGTCCGAGTTCACCACGGCGCGGTGCCACACGCTCTTATATCTCCCGTTGCTCAGCGCCTGAAACACAGTGGAAATTGGTTTCAGTTAGCACCACTTCGGTCAGAGTCCGCGAGTTCAGAGAAGAGTGTGGCGTCATGCAATGCGTCATTGAATCTGGGCAGTTCACTTTCTTATATCTCCCGTTGCTCAGACCATTTTGCAGTGTATACAGTATGATGCTCGGAGTATCTTATATGATTGCACATCGAGACTGACGTAATGCAATGCGTCACTGGACCTGGGAATTTATTTGCACTTCTTCTGTGGTCGGTCAAGGGTTTGTCTTGATTAAGTACGTGGATACAGTTCAGTGCAGCAGATCGGGCAATACTTTACTGAACTTGCACACAATTAGCAATGTGTTCTACACCTAACTAGGCAAACAGTGTAAGATGTCTTGGCCTAAGCAATTGACCGTGTGACGTGTGTCCATGTGCAGTGTATGATGCTACATGGAGTACACATGCAGTCATTGGGCTACTCATGTTTGTTTACACTTGTTGTGTGGTCTGTCAAGAGAATTGTCTTAATCATGTGGGTGCAGTTCAGTTAGAGCAGATCAAACAGTATTATACCGAACCTATAGACAATTAGCAATGTGTTCTACACCTAACTAGGCTGCTAAACTGCAACAAGATGTATGCATATAATATGAGGGCACACATTTGAATACTGCAACCGATTGGTCTTGGTTTGCTGAAGAGATATATGCTATGTACTTGGTGTATCACCTGAAGCTGGTCGCCAAGGTTGATGACGAGCGCGTTGGGCCGCGGGTTGACGGCGATCCACCGGCCTTCCTTGAGCACCTGCAGCCCCGCAACCTGCTCGTCCATCATCAGGATGGTGAGGGCGTTGGGGTCCGTGTGCGCCGGGAGCCCGTAGGTCAGCTCCGGCGACGGGCACTTTGGGTAGAAGTTCACTGCCATGTGCTGCTCCTGCTCGCCGAGGACCTTCTTGATGTAGTCCTGCTCCAGCCCCAGGCTCGCCGATATCATGGCGTAGAGCCGGAACCCAAGCTGCCGGACCTCCTTGCAGTATGTGCTCATGACATCCCTGGTTCATGAAAAATGTGCCTGCAGTTAATCATCTTTGAACCTTGCAAGTTACAACTATCCTTTTTCCGGAAAGCAGCGTTTTCAGTAACTTAAAATGTAGCATCAAGGGGATACAAGGAAGTAGTGATCTAAACAATCTTATATTAGTTAACAAAGGGAGTATCTTTTTCCGATATAGATAAACAAAAGCATCTCGCTAGATATTTTCATTCACGCGTGATTTAGCAGCCGATTGTCGCTGTTAAACACTATTTCGTGGGGACATGTCATGGTACCAGTGACCATCTTGATCTTGGCCCTACGGTACCAAGTTCCTCTGCCATGTCCATCCTCCAATGACATCTAGTGATACCACCCACATCCCTACACGAACAAGTTGCGACGTTGTGTCAACATCGTCTATCATCCATGAGATCTAATCCTAGATCCTTAGCAGGTGAAATGTTCCGGACACGCATCATGTGAGTGTGACCACCACCATGGATGATGTCCTTCCTTGTGATCTCCTGTGTTTTTTTCCGGTTTGATTTTCTTTTTAAAAGTGGTTCTTATTTCATTGTCTTGTTGTGACATATCTGTTCTGTTTCCTTGGCGCCCATGCTGCAAATTGTGCCCTTTTATAAGCAAAGTAGCAGAAGAGGCATATATTGACAGGTCACCCGAACTGGGCAGTTCCTTGTCACCCCTGCTCTCTCCCCCGGCCAGGCCCCCCGTTCACGTTTATGCCAGATTCTAGCACGACATTTAGGTGCGTGGTGTCGATTGTAGCATGGACCACTTCCATTTGTTACTGATTTCTTAGCCCTGAACTAATACTTTTATGAGTGCAGGAAACACTGTCTGTCTTTGTGCAGAGAATACATCTCCAGCACATGGACAGGTCGTTGGTGGTTTGTTTTCTTTCAGGTACATGGTATAGCTTGCTAATAGTTTGGTACTGTGTACTGTATGGTTTGTTAGCAATAGTTTGGCACTCTGTACGCCGTCCTTGTTCCAGGTACAGAGCATAGTTTGTTAGTTTGGTGTATAATACGTCCTTGGTTGTTCCAGGTACAGAGCATAGTCTGTTAGTTTGTTTGATAATTTGCCTGTACAGCGATCAGTCTCGTGACTCATGACAAAAGTGCCAGTTTCTTTGTCTGTTTACGGTTGAATCTAGGGCGGAAAGCTAAAGAAATTGGCACCTTTGGCATCAGTGAAAAAATATTTGAAAAAGGTGCGTTTTATTATAGTTGAAGAAACCCTAGGTAATGCTGGAACATTGTCAACTATGCTAGAAAGGCAGCCGCATGAGTACTTGATTGGTACAGCTACCAGTGCTAGTGCTGGTACAAAATAATGCCAAAGTAATTAGGGGAAAGTACTTTCAAGGAATTTCTGGAGTAATCAAATTTGGAATACAAATTTCATAAGGGTGCTCTGTTTTCTTGCAGTGCTGGAGCAAGGTCCGGCGACGCAAATTTTGAGTACTTTCTTTCGGTGGGGAAGGAAGGAAGTGTAATGGCGGGAATTGGTGAAGAGTACCTGAAGGGCGGGGGATTGGCAGGCCACTCCGGGACGAACTGCTCGAGCGGGTGGCAGTGCAGGCGGAGGTAGTCACGCCAGTTGTGCACGGTCTCCTTGCGCACGTTGAAGCTGGTGGAGAGGCGCATCTTCTTGGCCGGGTCGTCGGAGTAGAGCTTGGCCTTCTCCTCCGGCGAGAGGCGGAAGAACTCGTGCGCCACCGCCATCGCTGCCAGCATGACCTCCAGCGGCAGCCCGTGGTTGAGCACCTGGCGATCGGTCAGAGACCACACGCGGCATACGCGAGCACGGTGAGCGAAAGCAGAGCGCCCCCATTCTCTCTTTCCGAAAGGAAAAACAGAGCGCCGGCCGGGCTTGTAAGCCGGAGGGAATGGGAATTGGGATGGACTAACCTGGAAGAAGCCGTGGGAGCTGCAGGCGGCGCCGATCTGGGCGACGACGGCGGCGCGGTCGGGGTTGGCGAGGTCGACGACGGGGATGTCGGCGTCGGGCACGACCTCGTCCAGGCGCGGCCGCTCCGCCTCGGACCGGACGTAGCTCTCGGGCAGCGTGTGGTGCACGGCCGTGGAGATGAGCTGCTCCGCCATGCCGGCACAACAACACACAGGCACACGAGATAGAGAGGGAGAGAGAATAGATGGATGTCACGGTGGAGGCGTGAGCAGAGGAACGGCCGGAGGCGAAGAGGAAACGCCGCGGCTGGGCTTGGTTTGTTTGAGCAGGCGGGGAAGTCGGAGGATTTATGGAGAAGGCCATAGACTGAAGAGACGCGCTGGCGGGTTGACCAGGGAGCGGCGCGTCGTCACCCACAGCCAAAGGGCGGGACGTCATCGGCCTAGCGACAGGTGACGTACACTGGACGGATGGATGGCGGACCGCACCGGTGGTGCACCGCTTGGCGAGCCAGCCAGGCGTTTGCGGCGGCGCGTCAAGGCCGCGTGTCGAGCACTGCCGTGCCATCCCGACGGCCCCGGGGCACCCAAAAGGCACAGCTCGGTAGAGTCGGCCTTGCACTTATCAGCTGCTTAAAGCATCTCCAACAGGCACAAAAACTGCTCCACGCTAAAATTTATGTTTTTTAGGGGACGGACAGTTCTAGCAAAAGCTGTAAAACAGTACGCGCGTAAAAAAAGATTGGGCACACGCTAAAAAGCGCTATAACAAACTGCAAATTTGGGGCGCCGGATTACAGGCTTTATAATTTGCACTGTGTGTTTTGTTGGGGGCGCGTTTTTGGCAGATGCCAAAAAACTTTACGCGTGCATTATTTTACAGCTTTTGCTGGAGCTGTCTGGCGCCCAAAAAACTTGAATTTTAGCGCGCGAAGCAGTTTTTGTGTGTGTGCTGAAGATGCTCTAAACCAATGTTGAGTCTGGCGCGTTAAAAATGCTATAGTGGCACGCTATATTTTAGCGTACAAAATTTTTATGCGTCTGGAGAAGCTCTTAGCTTCTTTACACACCGCACCGGTTTTTATTTATATAAGTACACGTTTAACCAGACGTATTTTATGTAGAATATGCACTGATGCTTTTTAAAAGATCGGTTTAATTTTCTAATTACTTCGTTAGTAAAGAAATATAAAGCATCTAGCACTGTACAAATCCTAAAGGCATCTTCAGTGCGGACCCTCAAACCATCCGCATACGTCCGGATAGTATGGTCCGAACATGTTGTACCATTCAACATGGACCTGGTCCAAACGTACTTTTTTTCCGCAATCCGGAGACAAAGGTGGGATATGCAGGCGTTTGGACCGCTGCCACGTCCGCATTTGACCATCCCGGCCTACCTAAAATACCCACCCGCTCTCCTGCGCTATCCATCCAATGTCTGCGCTGTTTGTCGCGCCGCATTCATGCTGGCACAGAGCATGCAGATGCAACAACCGGAATTGATGTCGAGCGACGCGACCGAACATGAAGCGGCGCTGACGGACGCGACCTCTCGGGCATCGCCGCTCCAATGCGGACGCCGCGTCTCGAGAAACCAAGCCGGCCACTGCGCCGCATTAAAGCCGACTGATAGCGCGTTCGCCAGGTCTGGCCGCGGTATATAAGCCCTGCACCGGCGATGCACATCCACACCTCCACCTCTTCGATCCCCTCCTCCTCTCCGAGCCTGTCCTATACCTCTCTGAGCCCTTCTCCTACAACGACGATACCGAAGACATGGTGGTCCGCGTCGGTAGGCTGTGGCGGAGGGAGTTCATCCTCCGGTGGATCTTGGAGCCGCCGCCCGCGCTCTCCGCCCCCCTCGGCGTCCACGGCGGCCGGCTCCTCCAGCAAGGAGGAGATCGCCATCTCCTCTGGCGAGGAGGAGAACCAGAAGCCGCAGCGGCAGTTGGAACGGTGTCCGCACCTCCTCGTGGAGGCGGCTCTGACGAATGAAGAGTGCGTCCATCAGATGGGCCCGGCACAACCATCCCCAGCGCGGGTCATGGAGGACCCACTATCCCCGCCGCGTTACCATGTCAAGCCGGAGCCGGTGTCCGCACCCCGGCGGGTTAAGGAGGATCCCACCTCCCATGCATAGCCGCGGCATCCAAATTTGGATGTCGCATTAAGGACGAGCCTGCGCCGCCGTCGGCACATAGCCTATACACACGCATTAATGGGCCCGCCTCGCCGCTACCGCCGCCGAACCATCAAGGAGGGCACGCAGGCGCATCCTCCATTACCTTGGAGGCGGTGGTGTTGTGGTCCATCGGGCTCGAGGGCCGTTGTCTCAGAGGAGGAGTGTGTGGCGCGTCAGCGGGCGCGGTAGGACCGGCGCAATGCCGCCCACCGGTCCTCGTTCGTCAAGACCGACGCGCTGCCGGAATGGGTCTGCAATGACCCGGACCTCACCGCCGCATGGGCCCTCGACCGCTCCATCACCACCAATTTGACGGACGCCGTGCGTCTCCGCCACCTCGACAGCGAGATCGCCAAGTACGGCGAGGAGTGATCGCTTAGCAAGACCTCCAACGTCCGCAAGGGCATGGCCGCCGCCAAGGCTTCACCGGCAGTGGCCGCGCCGGCACTCCACACCGTGCAGTAGGAGGCGGAGGGGCTACGCCGCGAGTAGCAGGCAACCGTCGAACAAGGCTGCCGCGACCATTAGGCCCTCCGCCGCTGGAGGGACAAGGACGAAGACGACGACGGTGCAGACAACGAAGGTGGTGTGCTAGGACAGGGCGGCCACACGTACGAGATGGTCATCTGGTAAAGAGTTTAGATTTTTGTTTAGTTTGTAGTTAAACGGTCGAAATATCAACTTTTTATGTAAATTATGTCTCAATTTTAAAGAAATCTGTCGTGTTTGCACAAATTTTGTCCGGTTAGTTCGAACAGTGGTTGAAATGTATGTGGACAACATTGGATGGCAGTCTCCCGCATCCATATCTATGGACTGGTCCCTCACTGTGCACGAACAGATGCTAGAGCAAATTTGCGAGTTAGCATTAGAGATCCACATACTTGGCAGTACTAGGGAACACGTTTGTTATGGCATGACGGTCTCGTCTGTCGTCGTTTGAGCGTAGCTGATAACATGTTGAAACTAAAAAAGAGGCAATAAACACATACAATAGTAAAACTGTGTCTAATCTTATTTCATGGTCGGCACGACGACAGACGACTGTCTCCCGCTCTAATGCCGAGGCAGAATACAGGGCAGTTGCTGTGGTCGTCTCAGAGTCATGTTGGGTACGGCAACTTTTACAGGAGCTTCGTCGGCTGATATCAAGTGACACCATTTTCTATTGTGACAACCCCAATGTGTTGTTTACTTGTCCACTAACCCCGTTCAACATCGTTGGACCAAACATATCGAACTGGATATTCACTTTGTTGGGAAGAAGTTCACACTTGGCACTGTTCCTGTCTTAATGTGCCCTCCTCCTCTTAGTCCGCCGACATCTTCACGAAGGGGTTACCTATTGCTCTTTTTCAAGAGTTTCGCTCCAGTCTTCAGGTTGCATCATCTCCCGCTTCAGACTGCGGGGGAGTGTTAGAGTACAGAGCACCGATGCCACCTCATCCCGGAGTCCGCGCAAAGCTTCTGCCATATAAATAGTTTCCATGTATTAATACCTGATTGTGTTGTAAATTGCAATCAAACTCTGTAAACTTGTGCTGCTATTAATATACATGGAAGCCAACCGAGGCAGGCATTGAGCCTCCCGCTCCTTTATACATTTACACTTTATATAAGATTACAAAGGGTGCCTCCAAGGGGTGCCTGTACAAAGGGGCATGAGCAACCGACATGCCAAATAGTAGTCGCCTTGGTAATTAAGAAAATAAGCAGGGGCCGAGACGATGAAGAATGACGGACGATGCCAAATATAAGTGAATTTTGATAACGCTGAAGTGATTGAGACGATGAAGAATGGCAGACGATCATTTGGAATTGCGGCAACAATCTTTGATGATAGCTATCATATTGCTTGTGATTACCATAAATTATTTTTGAGCATACTCTTAGGGGGGCAAACATCGTTCCCATGATCTAGCTAGGAGTAAGGTGTGTTCTGGGTGGATGGATGAACCACCCAAGGAGATTGCTGCTTCTCTTGTAAATGATGCTACTTTGATCACCTTTCAATAAAAAAATCAGATGTAAAAAATAAATTAGGAATTAAAATAAATAATTAAATCATTATAGAATACGGCTCATGTTCTAAAAAAAGACTCATAGTTAGGCTGGTTGTAATGGTAGTATTATAGCTAGTATTATGCATGCCAACTAGATAATTTTGATGAGGTGTCATAAAATTAAATAAAAAGAGAGAGAGTTGAGTATCATATCATGATACTGTATCATAATAAATGCTATGCTAGTATGTGTCATGCATGGCAATAAACAAAGTACTACATGATACTAATATATGATACTATACATTAGGAAGGTAGTAGTATCATACACTAGTATCATATGCATGATATTAGTATATGATACTTCCAATTACAATCAGCCTTATGAGACAGTCACGGTCACATAGTAAGGCTTCATATTTTGTCTACGTGACACTCTGTTGAATGGTCAAACATCCATATGGCATATAGCGGTGCCTCACCCTCTACCCATGTGGGCCCCACATGTCAGAGGGGCGGGGGACAAAATGAACTAAAAATTACGGCAGTGAGGAATCGGACAAGCGAACTGGAACAAAGACTACTAATATTGCTATGCTCTAATATATTTTTTGCGATGCAGAATATGTCCTTTTAGCTTTAGTGACTTTCTTTTTCCAAAAAGAAACTACCTCATTTTCGTAAAGGTCTTGTGAACACAAAAAAGGATCTATGTACTTTTGTCATCACCGGATGATGGACGCCAGTTTGTTTTCTTTTCTCGTTTTAAACTATGTGGAACTAGTCAGATCTAGAACACAAGAATGAGCATTTCAAGTTACTGACAAAACTAAGTGGCATGTAACATGTTCAAACATACATGGCGGTAAACCTAGGGTTTGAATTCGCCCCCTCATGGGTTAAGTGTGTCAATGCCCTTCTATCCATTTATTTAATATATATTTTTAAGTTGAGGTTACATGCTTGCAGCTACTTTGTTTTTCCGCATAGGGATGGCCTCAGAGGAC